CGGTGGGGGTCTGCTCAGGGCCTTTTATGTTCGCCGTAGACTGTAAAGGTCAGGGGAGTTAAACAACGATACAGAGAGTAAAGGTGTCTGAGAAAGCTTAAATTTTAACCTCAGTGTAGCGATGCCTGTGTATTAAGAGCAGATTAGCACACCCCTTTGTAAATTAGCGTGAAGTAAAAGGAAATGAGGTGCTGAGAGAAGTGACATCTCCAGAATTTGAGGACGGATGGTAAACTTCGTTTCTTCCCTGTAGGTTTCTGTGTGGTCAGGTGTGGCTGCCACTGTCCCCTGTGAAGTCACTTCCAGGTTCATTTCACAGAGGTTTAGAGGTGACAGCATTTTGCACTCTAATTAAATATTAGAGTTACGTTGCTCGACATCTTTCTGCGTGTTGGACCTGGTCTTTACGGCATCCCAGGAGAGGGGGACTGGTCATGACCTGTAAAAACACTGATGCTGTTGTGCAGGCTGTCACCTCCTCATAGTTGGCAGTGACTGCTCTGAGTCCTGTCCTCCTGCTGCCCTGGCTTGAGCCCTCATTTCTGGTCTGCGTTGTAATACATCCAACCCTGAAAACAAGTGTCCACATGTGGCTCTCTCACAATACACGTGCTATTGCTGATGGTTCTGGGCGATTTTAGCACTGCTGGGCAGTCTTGGGCTGAACGCTGTGGATGGTTCTTACCTCTCCCATCAAGGTACAGCTTCCAGAAACAGCACATCTCAGCGTGCAAAACACCCTGGTTTGAATGGGAGGCTGCATATTTGGATTGTAAATGAAGGTGGCCACACTTCTTTCCACTTCTCTTAATCCCTGCATGCCCGCTAGAAGCGCGTGGTGTCCCTGCTGTAACGAGCTGTGCTGTTCCTTGCCGCAGGTCGGGTGGTACAACGCGGTTCTCCAGCCAGGCTTTCACCTCCCCTACGCAGACGACACCCTGGCCTTCGTGGTCCTCAGCACACCGTCAATGTTTGAGAAAGCACTTAAACCTTTTGTGAACAAAGAAAGGTTTAACATGATCAGGGACCCTGTGGACCAGTGCGTTTCTCACCATTTATCACGTGTGAAGGAGGTAAGAACCTGAAATACCCATTCCTTGTACTACTGTGCTACATAACCAAGTGGGCTGAGCAGCAGACAAAGCCTTCCAGGTCCTTGTCCTTGCTCTGCAGAGAAGTAAGGCATTTTTAGTTGTAGTAATTCTTACTCACACCATCAGCAGGCTGCTGAGCTGCTTTACTGGCATCTTCCATCTCTTTGCCATTACCACCTGTAGCTATGTACAGTGCTGTGCAGTCATCATTTGAAACCCAAGGCCACAGCGTGCTGACGGATTTCGGTAGCAGGAGGTGGAAACCTGCAGGCTTTGCCCGTGCATCCCACACTTCTGCAGGGGCAGAGCCTTTTCCAGGAGCCTGGGCTGATGTCTTTTAATTTTCCCAGCAATTCCCTGACCAGAAGGTGGACGTCATCTTCGATTACGAGATGCTGCCAAGCCGAAAGCCCAAGTTCTTGGCGCAGACAGCCGCCCACGTCGCTGGAGCCGCGTATTACTACCAGAGGAAGGATGTGAAGCGTGATCCTTGGGGGAAAAAGGTGAGGAAAACACAGTCTGGGAAGAACCACCAGACTGTGGTCACTGCTGGGTACTCACTGGTTCTTCCTGCAGAAAAATACCAAGTCCAGATCATGTATAGACGCATGAAGTGCTTCAGACAGGAATCAGAAGCTTCCAAGATTCTTCAGGTGGTAGGGAGATGCAAACATGGAGAAGAAAGTCTTGATCTGTTAAAGCTACTTAGACAGGAGAATAATTTTCAGTGTAAAAGCTGGCCCATTGCTTGGGAAATAGAAACAGGAAAACAATTGCACTGTGGTTGTTTTCTGTTAGATTTTCAAAAAGGGACCTCTCTCTGAGCACAGGAAAATGTGAATTAAATGCAATACTTCGAGCCGCATGCTCAGTTTCTTCGCTACAACCGAGGGCTGGGAGCCCGAGAAGTTGCACCAGAGCTTGATGCTTTGAGCTCCAACCATAACTAGAGACAAAACGAGACATCTTTCTTTTCTTGCAGAAGATCTATGGCGTGTGCATCCATCCCAGGTACGGCGGTTGGTTTGCTATCCGGGGTCTGCTCCTGTTCCCAGACGTCCGGGTCCCGTTCCTGCAGCAGCCTGCCCCCGTGGACTGTGTGAGCACAGAGGAGAGAAGAGTCGAGTTGCTGGAGCAGTTCAACTTCCACTGGCAGGACGGGCGCTACAGGGACATCATTGAAGTGAGGGAAAGATATTCGGAGGAGCAAAAAGCCTACTTTGCCACTCCTCCGGCGGAGAGATTCAGGCTGCTGGGGCTGGCACAAGCAGCCCAGAGCAGCACGTTGCACTGAGGAACACGGCTCCAGAGGGAAAGTAATGCACAGCTCATCAGCACCTCTTTTCCATGGAGCTGAGGAAATCGGCGTGCGGATACAGAGACTGCAAACCCACGCTGCTGCGAGTGAGAGGCCTGCAGGAAGGAGGGAGCAGTCTGTGCTGTGCTGATGTGGTGGTTTGGGGAGGCTGGGAAGATGCAATTAGTCTTTATCTGGGAGAAGTTCAGATGTCCTGACAACTGGAAAACCCAAGCTGCTCATTAGAGGAGTCAGTTTTGTTCTGTTTTGGGCTTATTTTGTGTAAGATTTTAAGTTAATTTTCAGTCATTGTACTCCGACACTTTTTCTGTTCATTTGAACTTGGGGCAGACACTTTTTTTGGACGTATCCAGCATTTCATTCCCCTGTGTCATAACCCTCCTTAGGGAATAAATGCTCAGTCTTTTCAGTCTTTCTCAGGAAGAAAATGTGCCCTGCATTCCCTCCCTGGCAGTGAAGCTGGCTCCATTTAATCAAGAAATAATTTAACGCCTTCTTCAGCATTCAAAAGGAAACTCTCCAGAGGGTGTCTCGCTGGGCAGCGTGGTCCTGTGCGCAGAAATCAGAGCCAACAGCAGCCGCCTCCTTCAGAAGAGGCCACAGCTCCAGGCTGCTCCTTCCTCTGCACCCAGGGTCAGCGTCTCGGAGCAAGGTGACATATTTGGGTCAATTTTAAGCGTTTATCCAGTGTATAACAGAGCAGCCAACTAAAACCTTCAGAGAGATGCTCAAGAACGTCTGCGTGAGTGGAGTTTTTACTCATATTAAGATAACTGACTGGAAAAGTCAACTCTTACGGTGTTTTTCTAAGGTAAAGTTTGAATCTGGAATATTTTCACACACCATGGTTTCATTGCCATGGTTTCCTGTTGTACTTCCCAATAACCTTCCAACTGTGATTTAACAGGGACCCGAACTGATGGTTCATGTTGTAACAGGTACAAAATACTGACTCTCTTAGAGGGATAAACACAGAACGGAATCTGAATTATCGTTTTCATTATAATTTAAATATTTTGCTATTTCGATGTTGATTTCTTACAAATATTCACTATTTTGTCTCAGTTAATTTATTAAACAGAGCCGGTTCATTTCAATTTTTGTAATTTCTCTCTCTTCACGCGGTATTTTGGGTAATAAAATACATGAGGTTGTAAGTAACCCTGAGTAGTGAGTAGTTTTGTGTAAGCAATGCAGTGATGAACTTGTGGAGAGCTAAAGATGTGATGGGGACAATCGATGGCTGTGTTTTGAACACACTGGAAACAGGGAGCTATCGGGTATCTGAAAACAACAAAGAGCTGTCATCTTTGGAGAAGTTACTGAACTGTTAGAGCAGGCTCAGCTGACAGCAAAATACAGCAGGCAGCACATGATGGGTAAGTCTGGTAAGTGCTGGTCTTTACGGGGTCATTTCAGTAAGAACATTTAATGCACTTTCATTTGTTCCTGCAGTAGCAACAGTTCAAGGTGTCCAGCAACACATCACTGAGATCCGAGGGACTTTCTCTCTGTAACTTGAAATTAACACCTGTAATTCTGGAATGCTTCTGTGTTAAATCCTGTTAGTGAATACTGAGTCCTAGCAAGGGTAAATCTGTTCTGCGTGCTCCTGGCAACACAGTTCTGTCAGAGCAGAGGAGTAATTTCACAGAATCCCAGCATGTGAGGAGT